TATTAATTTAAATAAATATTTACATTTCTATATCATATAATTATGTAATACAAATATAAATGTTAATATAAATGCCACTTTAAATGATTAATTTTATGTATGTGACTTTCACCTCAATTCAAAAAATGAATGCCAAAAATTTCATAATAAACAAAATGTCAAAATTTTAAATAATGACAAGCTCTGATTCTGCACTAGCCTGGTTCTCCACAATTTACCTTTTCCTACTCCCAGCCCTGTCATATCCTATCTTTATTTACAATTTTGATATTTCGCTCATCATGGATCATTTTTGGATTACTTTTGATTTTTAAAAAAATTACATTAAAATGTTATGGATCTCAATGCCTGAGTTTTTTGGTGTCCCCTTAAATGTTGCACCCACAGTGAATGCCTCACTCTCCTCACCCCATTTTAGGCCCTGGTGACCACTTCCCCGGCAGAAGGGGCAGAATGCGCACAGCCTGGAGAGACCACAGTTTGAATCCTGGCTCTGCTACTAAGTTGCTCTAGACCTCAGGAACTGATTTTGACACTCTGAGCCTCATTTTCCTCTTCTAAAAAGAGGGTGACAAACTCACCCACCAGAGGGAGATTTTTGACAAATGGCAATAATGCAGTTGAAACACCTTGTACGTGGAAACAGAGAAGTTATTTTGCCCATTATGTTATTAAGACTTTCAAGAGGCAGTGAAGTCAGGCAGTGGAGTCAGGCCAACAGGCTCAAATCCCATTTCTGTCACTTCCTCACTGTGTGACATTGAACAAGTCACTTCCCCTCTCTGAGCCTGGGTTTCCTCCTTTGCAAAAAGGGAGTTAAGAATAGCACCTACCTCAAAGGGCTATTATAAGAATCGAATGTGCTGATACACAGTTGTAAAAACAATACTGTTATATTAAATCTAAGATGCCAATGATTGCAAAATGCATCGTTCTTTCATGGGCCATAATTTTTATTATGATATAAAAACTACTACCCATAAAATTCAGCAGAAGACTGAGATGTCATTGATTGTAAAAGATGTTAAAATATGGGGGGGAAATGTGCATTTTAGATTTGATGAAATGTGATCATAATAGCTAATGGTAATAATAACAGATACTAAAATGCTTATCGTGTGCCAATTATGAAACCTCATGACAACCCCATGAAGTAAATATTGGTATTAATCCATTTTCCGGAGAGGAAAACTGAAGCACAGGGAGACTGAGCTGCTGGCCAATGTGACACGGCTGGGAAATGCTGGAGTCAGGATTGGAACCCAGGCCAGTGGGCTCGGGAACCAAAACGGTAAACCTCCACCCCTCACTGCTCTATATGCAGTAGGCACTCAAAAAAATGGGGACCCCTGTTATCATCGCCACCATCATTTTCCTGCCAGTGAGACCATAATCTCCTAAAGTCTGGGACCCTCTTTTGTCTGCTCTTTCCTCAGCCCCCGATGCAGGGCTGGACCCAGTTGTCAATGCCCAGGGTTCAAAGAATGAATAAGTGATTGGTGTGGAGGGCCCCCCCATGACCAGCCCAGGCACCCGCCCCAGAGGAACCTCAAGGTGAAAATAAGAAAGGTGGTTCTACTCACCAGAGATGAACGGACAGGTCCTGAGGGGGACCCTGGGGACATAGACAGAGATCAAGACTTAGAGCAAAGAGCCCAGCTTGGCAACAGACTACAGGGCACTTCATTCATTAATGCATGCATTCATTCATTCATTCTACTAACTTTTACTGAGTACCTATGATGTGCCAAGCACTGGAAATATAGTGGGAGAATATTCTAGTGGGAGAGACTGGTCCCCTATCAAATAAATTAGGGGTTGTCCAGCCACCTGTTTTGGCATGACCCTCATGCTATGAAAGGTTTTAACATTTTTAATGGTTGACAAAAATAAAAAATGACTAATATTTCCTGGCATGTGAAGATGATATTAAATTCATACGTCAGGGTCTGGTTTTATTGGAACATGGTCATGCCCCTCATTTACAGATCATCTAGTCCAGGGGTCGGCAAACTGCAGCTCGCGAGCCACAGGCACCTCTTCGGGTACGTACATGTGGCTCTGGAGTAAAATTGAAAATGAAAATAAAACTATTATAGTTTCATTTATACATTTTTAAAGGATATTATTCACATAATGGTGATTATGTAAAAATATATTTATGGCTATCGAATAATTTTTAAATTGTTGTGAGGGACAGGATTGGCTCTTCCGTCTCCAAATTTTGTCAACCCCTGATCTAGGCTGCTTTGGCACTACCATGGCAGAGCTGAGCAGGCACAAAAGAGAGCATCTCACTGTGAAGCTGCCAATGTTTGTCTATTTACAGAAAAAGTTTGCCAATCCCTGATCTAAATAAAAGTAAAAGGGTACACTTCCACCACCTCACACCCATCAAGATGGCGAAGGGGTGGGAGTAGGGGTAAGGCTGGGGGACGGGGTGGCGGGGGCGGGGAGAGAGAGAGAGAGAGAGAGAGAGAAGGAAAGAGGGAAGAAAAAAGGAAAGAAAGGAAGCAAATAACAAGTATTGGCAGAGAAATTGAAACTCT